GATCCATTACATTTTTACTGTAAGTGATGCCGTGTTTTTTGTTTTGTGTAGAAAAGTAATTGGTTAAACTAAAATGTTGGATACAGAAGTTCTTTAGGCTTCATGCGTGGAAGAGAAAAAAAGGTGGATGAGAGAGTTGGGGAGGATTATATCAGAATATGGTGAAGCATACAATGCTGGGGTTGCGAGACAGTGGACTTCTTGTGAAGGCAGTTTTTAAACTGGAATGGATCTGACGCTTGTGTTATGACTTTCTGAGTTTTCTTAGAGTCAGCTGTTTTGAAAGACTCGCTAGGCTGCGCTTTTTTTAATGGCTTAACTGCGTCAGTTTTTTAGGTTCTGAGGCACGAATTCGTAAGAATCAAAAATTTTCGAGGTATGTCAGAAAGAGGAGGAAAATGCGTCTTATTGGCACACCGAGGTCGAGTGTGCGTAGAAATTCAGTGCCCTCAACGAAATATAAATCCACTTTTGTTAGTATCCTTTCAATTTTGGTCATCGTCACAAATGTCACTTTTAAGAGGAACGATTTTTGCTCTTTATATTTTTCCAAAGTTTCTTGGTTATTTATTTGCTGCAGCCTTCGACGTCAAAGACTGATTCGACAAACAGTCACGAAACACCAAGGAAGCGTAGAGGTAGAAGTACTGTCAAGGTGACTTGTGTTTTTAATCCTTGTAAGTGTCTCACTTCAAAAAGTTTTTAATAAAGAAGCAAATTGTTTTTAGTTGAAGCTTAACGCCTCCATCAAAAACCGTTCGGCTTGTTTTCATGATTCTGAGCATTCATCTTACTCAGCTTCCTTCTTCTCAAATATGCTTGGAAGAAAGTCACTTGAAAGCAGCGATGTTAAAAATGCAGCTCCAAGAGGGAGAAGACGATTGTCTTACAGTGCTTTGACCTCGGTATGGTTCTAAATTATTATTGGCCTTTCTTTGTGACCTTTTAATCATTTTTATCTGTGTTTACATTGTCTTTATTTAAGGGTTGCATTTCTTCGTCTGAAAGTCCTGATATAAAGCAAGGCAAAACAGGCAAAGAAGTATTCAGGTAAGCTTTTTCAAAGATTTTTTCAATGTTTTTATCATTTTTAAGACTCTTAATCGTTAGAACTTCAATATAACAATTGTTTCGCTTTTGTCTGCCTGATCTTTCAATGATATTTCAGTTGCAACTGCAACAGAACGCAGCCGACCGTATCACCGATTTTATGCGGTACATCTAAATCTTCGGCATTATGTGATAGTAGTAGCGAATGTTCTTTTATCAAAGCTTCTAAGGTCCTTTTTTATTCTTCACCAATCGATTGATTTCAAGAGAAGTTACGGCCTGTTTGATTTCCAGGATGACTCACTGAGAGAGCACAACGGATCGTTTGGAGAGGATGAGGTTGTTGATATAACTGTTAATCGGAAAGTGCCAAAAAGCCAAAGACCGAATCTGTTGAAATTTCCTTTCAAACCTAGTAAAGAAAAAAAGCGGAATCACGGGTCAGGTACAAGTAGTTTTTAAAAAGTTTTGTAGCAGTTAACAGTTTGTAAGTTGTTAATGCAAGTAAGTCTGCCTCAAAGATTTACAAGGTTTTGCTGGAAGTCAAATTTTTAGCAAATTTGTAAAATTTTAGGTTTTTTCATCTCTAGATGCTATTGCTATTAATTTTGAAATGAAGTTTGTGACGAAGGGATGAAGTTATATTGTAAGCAACTTTGTCAACCTCTTTTAATTTTGCACAATATATATTTAAGGCTTCTCCTGTGATAGTGACGGAGCGGAATCCCATTCAGTTTTTTTAAGTCGTTTACATGAAGCGTACTGTTCCTCTCCAATTTCTGCCGATTCTAACTCGTCAATCAACCATTATCGAAACCTCTACGTCAACTCAATTGGTAATCACTTGCTTGTTTGTAATCTTTCTTGTGGCACTCATTAGTTTACCTTCAGAAAAGCTTTGTAGACATCTGTAGTGGATCCTAATACGACATTAAAGCGGATTTTGCACTTACTGTTTCTCCTTCTGGTATTTTTCACTTTCTTCAATTGTCGGATTATGGAACACATTTTTGTTTTTGCCATTTCCTTTTTTTGACGTGGTTTACCAACTTTTCTATCAGCATTTGTTTACGCGGTCTAGAAAACTTGATGCCTTACCGAAACATTCATTAGATTTCTAGCTTCTCTTTTGTTTTTCATTTTTTCAACTATGACGTCTTCACTCTTGAACGCCCTTCTTATTTCAACAAAAGCAAAAGAAAATGAGTAAAGATGTTAGAGTGGTAACGGATAATTGCTGAGGAACATGGTAAACATTTGGACTTCAGTGGAAGATACGCATCATGACAGCTGTTTACTTGCATTTAACACGGTTAAAAGGCTAATCGTTTTTGAGCACTATGGGTAAAAAAGTTTTTGAACGTTTTTACGTGTCACTTTCGGTGGTAAACGAAAAGGTTTTGAAAGGACAATTTTTTGGGCAAATATTTAGGCCCGATTCCTCCTTAAAAACTTCTTCACGTATGAAAATCTGATCACTAAGTTAGAATTAAAATATCTGACGCTGAATATGCGAATTCTGTCAATTCATCACAGACATCTCCTCCTGCAAAAGCTGCTTTTCTTTTGATATAGCCACTGTTCAGAAAACGATTCTGACGCCTTTATAAACGGTTCGGCATTTGGAAAGTATCTTGATGAAGAAGCGCAGAGAAGGCTGACAGAATGTGAAAGAACGGGTGGAAATAATGATGTCACATTAAATCTAGCGGTGACAACAGACTCTCTGGCTGCTTGTGAAAGGTTTTTAGCTCTTACTTTCCATTTGAATCCTTTTACAGCAATTATATTATTTTCACTGTTTGATTCTAGCAAAAAAACTTTATTAATATTTCCAATTTGAAAATTTTTTCTAGGTTTCAAAGTAAAAAGGTTCCTGGGAAAGTGACTTCCCATCGTAGGCGTTCTTCACAAGTTGCCAAACTTGTAAGGCGCTTTAAAGAAAATCAAATTTTAGAAAGGCCGCCAGATGAGAAAGTAAATCAGGTGCTCTTTTCTTTCTATTATTTCAACAAATTGATACTTTAACTTTTACAAATTTTACTTTACAAGTCACTTTGTTCACATTTATTTTTAGCAGTCAAGCGGTGATTTACATCAGCCTTTTCTTGACGAAATTTCCCAGGCAGCGAAAAGGTTAAATTCGTTTGCTATAACAAACAGTAGAACTAGCAAAATCAGTAAAGATGCTTTAGTCGCTTCAGCACGGTAAATAGTTATGGTTTTTACCAAGTTTTTAGTGATCAGCTAATTGATTAGAAAAGGTATTATTTACATGGTTTTTGAAATAAAGCAGTTTACTCTGTTGTAGCTTTATCGCGTTTAGGCGGCGAGCAACCTTAGCTGTTTCCCAGCAAGGAGAATCGTGTAATTTAGTTACTGAACTTCATTCTGGAGCTGAAAAAAAGCTGCTGAACCGTTCGAGGAGTCGGCCATTGTCAGCTGGAGAAATACTGTAAGGGTGAAAGTAGTATTGAAAGGTTATTGCTTTCTGCTTTTGGGGTACGGAATTCAGTGTTTTTGCGCACCCGGAGATTAATATTATCTTTTGATTATGATTAATTTCGCTCTTTTTACATTTTACTCATTTTGGAATCAGTGACCTTTTGAATAGTCTGCTTTTTGTTGGCGTCTTTATGTTTTTAGAAATCGTTCTATACTGTTGTTGTTTATTCGTTTTAGATTCCAGTTCTGGATTTGATGATTAAATGTTCCACGTTTTCAAACGTCTGAAATTCCTAGGTAAACTACAATCAATTCCTAGTTTTGTTAAATTTCTCCGAGCTGTTCTTTAATAGTGCACTTTGGTTGTACCAGGAGCATTCGTGCTGACGTTCTTAGTGTTTTAGCAGAGAGTAGTCTGTTTTATTATTAGTAGTTTTTTGTCTTTTTTCTGATCGCTATAGATTTATTTACTTGTTTTTTTTAACCTTTTAGTTTTTTAAGAGAGAATATTATTTTGTTACCCTAACTATACATCATGATAATTTTGGCATAACATTTTTTTCTGTCGAATGTACATGATTAGTTGGTGACACTTAGTAGTCTTGAAAACTTTTGATGATATAATTTTGCTGTCTCTTCGACTGCATTTTTTATACTAAGGAAGATGATCATATTACAGTCGTCTTTTTCACTTCACTATTACTAAAGGCTGTTGGTTGTTCTTTCCCTGAATAGGCTATTTGAAGCCGGGATGAGCACTTTAGAAACTGATTTGCAACAGGGCTGTTTCCCAGTCTTTTTAAAAATATTTTGATTGGTTTCAGAGTTGGTCTTTTTTTTGGACAACTGGTATTTTAAGTTTCAATTTTAGAGGTTAATATATTAGTTGAGCTGATGCCGTTTTAGGAAATATTAAGAACAGATTTAGAACTTTGTTAGTTGGTCGTTTCGCCGTTGATGAGGTGGACATTTTGTGATCATGTAGTCGTACATGCGGGTCAGTTTGCTAATATGAATTAGTTTGTGCTTGACAATGCATGTTAAGTTTCTGAGCTTGTTGAAACCTTTCTCAGTTGCAGAATATTTGTTTCTTAAATCCTAGAAAACAAAAATACTACCTAGTATGGCCTTGATTCAGGGAGAGTAAGTGAGAGGACAGTAAACAAAGTAGATGGGTGGTATTGTTTTTTAATTCAGCAGTAGACATCTTAGCCACCTTTTTTGGAGTCTACGGATTGATAGGCTTCGCTTGCAACGGGCTAATGTTATTCTTTATAGCGTTTAATACATGGTAAGATGTGATGGTGGAACTGCCGGTAAACCAGTCCATCTTAGTAAATTTATCTGCAAAGTGGTTTATAAAGCACTGAGCGGTTCCAGGTATCAGTAGAGCGATTATCTGATTGTCGTTTTTGTAGGCTAAGATACAGCAATGTTTATTTGAAGTAGTGGGACTAAGGTTACTGGATTTTTGGAATAATTGAATTTCTTTTGTTTTTTTTATGCTGTCTACTGAATACTGGCAGAAAAGATAGGCTATATATGGAGACTTTTTGTGTTTGGCGGTTAATATTGAATGATTTTTAGAAAAATAATTTGAGGAGTTGTGTCAATTTATTGAATCATTAGGGGGAATGGTTTTTCGGCTTTATTAAAAGAGGAAAGAGTTTTGAATAACAAGGTATTATTGGTTTGTTGATTGATATTTATTGCTTATCAGTTGATCGCATCAAGAATTAAATTGAAACTACATTCACTTTTCTTCTATTTGTTTCTTTATTCTGTTTATTGTTTGGAATTTTGCTTTATTCGGAAGAGTTTGTTTTGTTGTTGTTGTTGTTGTTGCTTTGTTTTTTCTGTAAATAATCTTCAGTTTTTTTGCAGTTGATTACTGGTAATGGGTGAGAAAACAATGAAAAAGAGTGGTAAATGCTGCTGCAATGATTTCTGTTTGCTGAAATGTTGATCTGAATGTTTGGAAAATAAAAGTTAGTTTAGGCAAGTTTTGATACGGTAAAACAAAATATTACTTTTGTATTTGAACCATATGCCCAGGTTGTTCAGTGGTTCAACAATCTATTTAGATCTTCTGCTGCTGTACTGTAGACGACGACAGTGGTAAAGATGACAAGTTTAGCGCAGCTGTTGTTGCCTGCCCAGCAAAAACAATTTCTTCTTTTTCTTCAATGAGCCACAACTTTGTTTACGAGTTCGTCAACCAAAAAATTTTTTGCTTAGTTGGCTT